GTTGCGTCGTTTCTTTGGACAATGTTGAGCAGTGTGCTTAGGTTCTCAGCAATATAAACATAATCCTTCTTGACGACGACGAATCTTTTCTTGCTCAGTTAGGGGTTTAAAACGTACCGCATCAATTTGCATGTCTTCTACTTCTGAATGTACGTTTGGCAAAGATGTTGATGTTGCCATTGAGTAATAACGTTGAGGTTCCCGTGAATGATTCTCGGATCGAAATTCGAAAAGTTGATTATCACATTTTACCGCAAAATCGATTGCTTGACTCAAAGTTTGAGGATCACGTAAGTTGAGCATCAATTTCTTTACTTCGTATTGCAATCCATAAAGAAATTGACTGATGAGTGCAGCATCATCCCACTTGATGTCAATTGCAAGTTGTCGAAATTGTGAAGCATACACTGTTATTGAGCAATTTTATTGTCGCATAATTCGGATCTTATTTGTTGCAACACGAGTTGCATCGTGTTCACCATACATAGATCGAAACTCCGCCAAAAAAGCTTCCAAATTGTCCAATATTGGATTTCGTTGTTCAAGAAAAGACGAAAACCACAATAATGCAGAACCAGAAAGTAGAGTGCTAATAAACCTGACTTGTGATCCTGGAGTTGGATAGCTTTGCGGTTGAAGTTCAATTGCCAATTGTACTTGATTGATGAATCCTCGAAACTTAGATCTCGTACCATCAAATTTCTCGGGTAAGGCAATTCTTGGTTGTCTAGTGCTTACAGGGTGTTGTACAATTGGAAAAGGAACGTGATTTGTTGTAGATGTTGAAGCAGCTCCGATCATCTCTATATCCCCACTTTCTGCTATTCTTGTTCTTTCATGTGTTGGTGAATTGAGTTGATGTATCGCAAGCATTAACTCCCTCATTTGCTCTTGCATTTGTGCCATTGCACTCTTCATTTCAACAAGCTCTGCCATAATGACACTAAGAAAAAAAAATTGTTTGATACTGCTCAAGACAAAAGAAAAGAAAGACTTGATAACAAAGGAGATACTAAGAACAATATCAGTTTAGAAGTGGGTAATCCGCAAACTTCTAATACGCTTATGCCTTGTCAAGAGAAAGGGATAATCCACTCTTACTCAAGAAAAACAAAGCTCTGATATTGTAAGTACACTCTTGTCAATCTGTCAAGGACAAGAACTCGATGAAAAAACAGTTCAGACAAGTAAGCCTTCACTCAAAGAAAAGTAACAAAATATGAATAATAAGTATGTATATTGAAAAGAGAAACTAGAATGGCTATTGCCAAAAGACAAGAAAACTAGAGACCCTTGAAACTAGACTAGAAGCAAGAAAGGAGTTGACAAGAGTGAAGAAGCCTTCACTCTTGTCTCTATATATACTATCTAACTAGGGGCTACGTGGCGACGTTCTATAGGACCTCCAATATGTGTTGACTTTGTAAGACACATGCCTTGACTTACAAGGTAAGTTTTTCTTCGTGTTGGCCACATAGTTAGCTTGATCTTCAAGCTAACAACATGTGTGGCACATGGCCAACTTGTTGACCACGTTTCTAATCCAAAAAGTCAATTAAAGACACCTATGAAGTCAAAGCAGCGTCTAGGAAGTTTCTAGGAAGCTTCTATATTAAATATTATAGAATTAACTTACTTTTATCTACTTTTACTTACTTCTACCTATTTCTATATGTAATTATTAGCTTACATGATTATGGCCGTGATCTCTACTTTTGTTTACAAATTTAAACTAATTATAACTTAAATATAAATCTCGAATAAAATATATGGTATGTCTAACAAATGTTTTAGCAACTTCATCTACAATTAGCTCAAATCTCTTATTTTTGATAGTAACTTTGTTGGTTAGCTACATGTCTTGAATAAACCTTAATGCTCTAGATTTCTTTGGCATTATAAATCAATGGTTGGAATATGGTACCATTGAAGACTCAAATATATTCATTTGAAACTTCTCCTTCAATAAACTTACTAACTTAGGCAATAGAACTCTTGCCACTAAAATAGGCTTTAAATCCCATGGCACATATGATACAGTGTAAAAAGAACCATTGATACAATCTATTAGAATGCATATACCCAATTTCATCTAATAATGAAGCAAAGGCCTTACTAAATCTAGAAAGCATGACTCAGAGTCTCTTCTTCTCTAGCTCTTTGAAGAATTCATCATTTCCAATTTATAGCTTAATTATTATCTCTTCAATGAATTTGTATCCAATCATTTGTGTTTCTTTCAACTTGGACTCTTTTTTAGCCTACTTGATGTAATCATCAATGTTAAGTAGTAATTATGTTGTTATAGGCTTAACCTTCTTTGACATTATCTTATATTTGATTATTATATTAGATTCAAATTGAATACCATATTTTAAAAGATGATTATATATACCAAAAGGCAAAGTATAATTATACGTTTTTTAAGCTTGTCACAACTTTCTAGTAATCAAATATTTTGGATATAACAAGTCTTTGGAACAATATCTAAAAAATTTTGGTGGCTTTATATGTGAAAGGCAATTAAAGACTTTGTACAATCATATGGCATTTGTTTAAAAACAAAAATTTCTTACCATCAACTTTATAGACTTCTTTAGCAATTATCTTTTTTGAAAAAACTATAATATTTTATTTCTATGGATTTTGTCATAAATCTTCTAGTCTCACATTCTTTTTACTTTATATTCATGATAGTAGATCATTTCACTAAGTTGGATTTTTTTGTACTATATACAAAATCTATCACAATTAAAGAAATGATTAAGTTTTTTCTTGATAATATTTATCACTATCATGTATTTTCCAAAGATATTATTTTAGATAAAGAGATTCAATTTGTATATAGATTATTAAAAAATCCTTTTTAACATTTTAAAAGTAGATATAAAGCTATCTTTGGCTATTCAGATTTAAACTAATAGACACACAAAGCAAATAAACCAAATTTTGGAGCAATATTTAAGATGTACTTTCAACTACCAACAAGATGCTTGGACAATTCTTTTGTCACTGATAAAGTTTGCTTATGATAATATGGCACTTTCTTCTATGCAACAAACACCTTTTTTTATTAATTATGGTTATCATCTATAATTTGATATTTTTTGACATTTTTGAAGCAAAAAATCCTCAAAATCTTCAAAATTGAAGAAGGTAATCTACAACTTCTAATACTCTTATGTCTTATTAAGAAGAAATGATACTCTACTCTTAATCAATAAATGATAAAGCTCTAATATTATAAGTATATTCTTATCAATCTGAGAAGAACAAAATTTCAATGAACGTAAATAAACAAGTGAGATTTTTTTCAAAGAAAGATGAAAAAAATAAAAATAATTAAATATGTATATTAAAAACAAAAATTGAAATGACTATTGTCAAAAAACAAGAAAACTAAAGATCCTTAAAACTAGACTAGATAAAAAATAAAAAAAAATTTGATAAGAATGATGAAGGCTTCTCTTTTGCCTCTACATATACTATATAACTAAGAACTTGAAAATACTTTACAGGAACTCCAATATGTGTTTAATATGCAAGACATGTGTCTTGACTCGTAAAGCAAGTTTTCTACATGTCCACCACATGATTAACTTGTACGACAAGCTATTAACTTATGTGACATATGATTAACTTATTGGCCAAGTATTCAATCTACCAATTACCTATAGACATATATAAAGGTAAAATTTTATCTATGAAGCTTTTAGGAATCTTTTCTATAAGATGTTATCAAATTAATCTACTTTTATTTATTTTTATCTATTCATATTATTTAAATAATTATTGAAATAAATATTTATGTTTGTGACATAATCATGATGAATTTGCTTGGTTTTCATTGGTTGAGGATCTAATAGTAGAATAATGAATCTAAAGGTCATTATTTTTTCATGATAGTGATGATAGGTGGGCTGCTCTACTAAAAGATTGGATCTATTTAATATTTCTTTAAATATAAATAAGTGACTTAATTCTTAGGTATTACTATGGAATCTTCTTTATTACTTTGGTACTAATAATATTTTTTGAAGGAAGACAAATGACAAAGAAAGATTTTTAAACACTTTATGTAAGTTATTAATGACTTCATTATTATGTTATTGAGATGTTTGTAAGAAACATTATAAAGTCCTTATAAAATTATAGTTGGTAAGGTGCACTACAAAATTTCACTCATAACTTTATAAAAAAAATTCTTCTTCTTTTCCTATAAGGGATTATCAAATTTATACTGAAATTTATAAAATTAAGAATAAGACTTATTCATCTTAAATACAATTATTAATTATTTAAAAAAATTTGCCACGGAAATAATTTGATTGATTAATTTTTTTACTATGTACATATTTTCTAAGAAATGATTTTTTTATAATTGGAAATATTACATTTTAATTATTTAATTATTTATTTAAAAATAATAATACATTTACATAGGATAGTGTCAATGCAACCATAATTTTTGCCAATTTCAACACAACTTGCTACTCACTCAACATTTTTATTTAGTTATTTTAGTTTTATTTTGATCATTTTTTTTTTTATATTTCTTTATATACATATATTTATAGAGAACTGTGAAAGAAATGGTTGTGATGGTAGAAGCAAAAAAAATAACAATTGGTTGAAATTTGACTGATAGTCCCATGGGATTGTAGTGACAACAGCAATAACATTATGATGATATTAAAAACATCCTTTTATATAAACTGTAAAAACAAGTTGTAATCACCAAAAACATACTCAAGAAGAAAATGAGCTGTAACCAGTGTCCACGTCCTCCTCCTCCTCCACGATTGCATTGATGAAAGCAGATGAACGGATATGGATGAAAAAGAGAGATGGAGGGAGGAAGGGAGTGGGGAGCATGGATGATGCTCGGGGGGCGCAAGTAGGGTTGCACCAAGCGAGGCCAGCCATATGGATGATAAGCCTTATCCTTTGGAAGCTTCGTTTACCCCCCGCCCGCTGTCCCGATTCTGGGCTTCAGAAAGCTGCTCTTGTGAGCTTCAATATCCACAGCTCCATTTGATCAGCAGGGGATCTGAGGGATTTCGGTTACTCCTTTCTCTCTCGTAGCGGGTGGTTCCTTGTTGTTGTTGTTGTTGTTGGTAGTGGTAGCAATGGCAGCTATGGCAGCAGCAGCGCAGACTGTGGCAGCCGGGGCTTTGTTAGGTAGCCAGGGTTTTGGGTTGGCCAACAGCCGCTTCGCCGGTGCGCAATTTGGCGTCAAGGGAGTTTCAAATGGCTCCCGCCTTAGCTGCCGCACTACCTACACCATCCCTAAGAGTCGCCAGGGGCTGCTCGAGGAGGCGGAGAAGCGGTGGGAGGCTGCTCTTGAGAGTCCCCTGGCTGGTGTTCAGTTTACAAATGATGAATTCGCCGATGCTCTTTCAAAGTATGACTTCAGCTTTGAAATTGGCGACATGGTATGTCAGAGAGTTTCCAATTTCGTGTCTCGCATTGGCCGCATTACTTAGTCGACTTGGTTTTTTTTTTGTGGATAAGTAGCTCGGTTCAATTGTAAGGTTTGTTTGTTGATGTCGACCTCGTCTTTGCAGGTCAAGGGTGTTGTCTTTAAGTCGGACTACAATGGTGCTCTCATAGATATTGGGGCTAAGGCGCCAGCTTATTTGCCCATGGGAGAGGCTTGCATTCACAAATTGAGGAGCGTCGAGGAAGTTGGACTTTACCCTGGAACAGAAGAAGAATTTGTTGTTATCAAGGACGATGATGACAATGGTCGCATGATCCTGAGTTTGAGGAAGATTCAATATGACCTTTGCTGGGAGCGGTGCGCGCAAATGTTGGCTGATGACGTCGTCGTCAGGGGAACGGTGGGTCAATTGACTGCCTCTTAATGGATAATCTCTGATCATCTAATGGTTAGAACCTCATTTGCAGGTGACCTAGTTTTCTCTTAAATACCTTAGTCCCGACCACCTTCCGTGGTTTCAGAACCTTCAGCAGGAAGTCTTGGTGTGAACATTAAACGGCGCTACATTAACATTCGAAATTGCGATTCGGTCCTCGTCATGATACTTTTTTAACAATCCTAATACACAGTATGCCTAGGTTTTGTGTGTAAGAGATTTCTCCTGTAGATAATCATTTATGTCCTAGAGTTTCGAATGGGTGAGAGGTTTGAACGAGTACAGTCCAAGAATTGTATTAGTATTAGAATGTCTAATCATTTTGCGGCTGCATGCTATTTATATTTGGTAGCTGAAGACAAGCAGTGGTCATTGGAGCTCAATCTCTCTACGTGCGTTTTTATCTCGCTTAGCCTTCCTTTGCACTGAGATCAAAATGGAGTTTAGGAACCTGAGTGATATCCACTCGGAAGAATTTAGGTTTTGTTCTCTCGAATCTCTGTTCTTGAAACTGCACGAAGGTCTTTCGACATGCTGTTGATTGGCACTGAATTATTTTCTTCCGTGTACAGATCTTGTCGCACAACTCAGGAGGGTTTGTTGTAGATGTTGAGGGCCTGCGTGGTTTTGTGCCTTTCTCTCAGGTTTCAGCTGTAAGTACTCCGATTTTACCCTTAAACCTGTTTGAAAATCACGGGCACCTTGTTTATTGACATGCTTGATTTCTGCATTATTACCTGTTTCGGTCGAAGTTTTATGTTCATTATGATTAAAATTTCCGCGCGTGGTGCTTGCTCTGCTCCATTGGCAGAGGGGTGCCCAGTCCAACCCTGAAGAACTTTTGAACAAGGAAATCCCTCTCAAGTTCCTCGAGGTTGATGAGGAGCGCACGCGTCTTGTTCTTAGCAACAGGAAAGCAACCTTTGCCGAGAACCAGTCAGCCTTCGGAATTGGTTCAGTTGTTGTTGGAACCGTCCAAACTGTTAAGCCATACGGAGCTTTTATTGATATTGGAGGAGTCAGTGGCCTTCTGCATATCAGCCAAATTAGTCACGATCGCCTCACAACCGTTGAGACTGTACTCTCACCTGGAGATAAATTGAAGGTACTTAGTCTTACCAGTCTTTGTAGAAGTGAATGGTGTTTAGTCCGTGCACATGGATCTTCACGAACTATCACGCATGTTGACATAAGTTGATTGTCTTCTTTCCTTCGTTTATAAGACTTGATGACTTCATATGTGAGTGGTAAGGATGTGTCTTACCATTAACATGTCTTGTTGTGATTGCGCAGGTCATGATTTTGAGTCAGGATAAGGACAGAGGCCGTATTAGTTTGTCCACCAAGAAGCTTGAGCCAACACCTGGTGACATGTTGCGCAATCCACAATTGGTTTATGAGAAGGTAAGTTTTTTTCTCTTAATAGCCTTCTCTACGACCTGACTTTCAATGCACATTTTTCTCGTCCTAAGCAGTAGAATTGCCAATCTCAATTAACATATTCAAGAAAATTAGGCTCTTGCGGATGTCATCGTTTCCTTCGTTTCTGCAACCTTAATGTATTTTATGCTCTCTTTTATTGAGGTATTTTCTAAATTACTCAACTATTGCCCCATAGGCTGACGAGATGGCCAAGACATTTAGGCAAAGAGTTGCCCAAGCCGAGGCAGCCGCTAGGGCAGAAGAATTGCGACTTCAACAAGAGGTATGGAGTCAACGTTCCCCGTTATCATCATGTTCGAGTGAATTTTAGTCCCGGAAATTATCTTTATTGTTGGTCCTCTTGAACGCTGTCACTGACCCTTTCACTTCTGTTTTGTGCAGGCTGGATTTGGTGTTAGGAACGACTTCTCCACAGTTGATGACTCCTTGGGCATTGATAGCCTTGGCTCCTTAGGTTTACCCGTGGAGTAGATTTAATTCTAGAGTGATAATTAGAAGTCTCGCTCCTACCGGCACCCTGAGCCCCTTTTTACGCCGAATTTCCGAATCAGGTAGTGTGTATTCTTTTTTAAAAAGTTCTCAGAGAAAGAAGTCATCTAAGGTAGCTTTGAAGCAGTCCTTGTCCGGAAGTCTACACGTACTATCACTTTTCATTTTAGTGAGCTACACAATACCCGCTGGAATGTTGAGAAATGGGGACTGCGTGTTTGTCTAAAATCGATCCAATTGCTCAAAGAAGATGTGCCATGTTATCTATCCTATCTAGAAAGAGAGCTGCGAGGCACTAAATGTAAGAGCGTCTTTCTCTTGAACTGTGTTTCGGAATGTGCTATGATTCCACGAATTATTTTAAAAGGAGGGTTTGTAGAGACTTACGCCCCGAATCTTCACTTTTTATTGCCTTGAGAGGACTCCAAGCACCATCTGAACTGCACGTCTGTATCATTTAAGTCTTCCACTTAACAGAGGACTCAAACTCCCAAAATGCGGAAAGGACTGCCGAGGATAAGGCCGACACCTCGGGCTGCTGTTTATTAATATATCTGGGCGCTTGACGCCCCAGAAAGCTGACATGGACATGATTTCATGGCTGAGAGTTGGCCAGGTGGAACAGTTACATTTTCTCAATCTGTACTTACTTTTGGATTTTCCGCACGTGAAAGCCAGGACTGGTACAATAGGATTGAGGGTCTAGTATTCTTCATAATCTAACTTTGACTCTTGTTATAAACTTGCTGAGGTGATTTTCACCTTCAACACAAGGAGTATCCATTGTTCTCCACTGGTTCCAATACGGTTTCACCGCTATGTCCTTTTAAACGACCACAATGGCATGTGTGAATAGTCTTGAATTTGTTTGCTGTCAGTGGTTTTACATTCACAATTTTTTAATGAAATCTTGTTTACATATTCTCATCGTTTGGAGGTGTCACAGACCTATGGCAATGAAAAATTGTGACTTCGGTTCATAAATATCCTGTACAGAAATTAGCGAGTTGCAGGATTCTGCGGGAAAACGCAGTAGCGTAGAATCTATCAATCGCGTTGGAGGCAAGTAAATCGTTTACTTGTCACATTGGGCAAATGTGCATTTTATTCGCCCCTAATAACTGAATATTATGGATGAGTCTTGAGTTGCCATTACAAATCGAGGCTGAACAAGCTTCACTGACCACCTGTTCGAAATCGAAAAATGTTGCGGTATTATGAGAAAGAGGCGAGCAGTTAGCTATGGTTCAGGGCCAATAAATGAATCCAGGCTACATTTACGGTTGGACCTAAAATCACAAGAGAAAGATCAGACATTTCGGAGAGGCTAGGAAGATGGCACTTAACTGGAGTGCCACTGAGCACTGCACTAAAGTGCACCAGCCACGGAGAAGCTTTCACCGCTGCACGTTCCGACGACTCTTCGCCTATAAAGTTTGCAGCGATACATATCTATTTTCATTCGTCACTATCCCAGTGCTTCGAGCTCCATTGCTCTGGCGTGAGGCTCAAGTTTAGCACATTGTCACCGCTTGCACCGTTTCGCATCCTGCCGGTACCGGTCGTTTACCCGCGCCGTGTCTTGGTTATTCTTCTGTACAATTTCCCGTTTGGAGAGTGTTTCTTGTGATTCTCTAAGGGTTTTTCTGAGACTTTGCTGTTGTGAAGTGGGTTTTTGAGGCGGTGGTTGTTGGAATCTGAGGGTTTAAGATTTTTGAGGCGAAGCGTTGGTAATGTTGTCGTGGAGCTTTGAATTGTAGTGCTGTGCGCTTCTGTGTTCGAACTGGCGGTTATTCGGTAGGGTTTGGCACTATTCTGGTGACTGTTGGTGTTTTCAGGTGATTTTGGTGGAGAGATCGCCGGCTAGGGTTTGGTGACAAGGGGGGGCAACAAAGATGGAGCTGGCCTGTTGTGGTTGTGGAGCAGGGGCGTTTCAAGCCACAGCCGCCGCTGCACTGGTGAGGCCGGACTGCGGGACCAGGAGTAGCGGGCGATCTTCAGCGCTGCCTTCTCGGAAGGCTGGTGCGGTGCCGGCATTGCAGAAAGTGTGTGTTGGTGGAAATCAGCTCTTGAAGGGCGGATTCTTCCAAGGGGCGGCGGCGGTGAAGATTGGCGCTTTGAAGCAGAATGTGGGCACCAGAGCTGCCGGCCATAGCTCCGGCGGAGTGGTCAGTGTGTTAAGTGAGGAGAGAGGCATGGAGAACATGACGTCGACGGCTCTCAAGGAGGCTGATGTCCCCCTCCCAGACGTGATTGAGTCCGGAATCAGCAGTGGCAAAACCCTGACTGCACCAACGCCGAAGGATTTTGTTTCCAGGTATGCCGAAGATGAGCCTCGTAAGGGCTCCGACATTCTCGTGGAGGCTCTTGAGAGAGAGGGCGTGCGTACCACATTTGCGTACCCTGGTGGCGCTTCGATGGAGATTCATCAAGCCCTCACAAGGTCCAATGTTATCAGGAATGTGCTCTGCAGACACGAGCAGGGTGAAATTTTCGCTGCTGAAGGGTATGCGAAGTCATCGGGACGTGTGGGGGTTTGCATAGCAACTTCAGGCCCAGGAGCTACCAACCTTGTCACGGGATTGGCTGATGCGTTGCTGGACAGTGTACCTTTGGTGGCCATCACTGGACAAGTGCCCCGGAGGTTCATTGGTACTGATGCTTTTCAAGAAACTCCCATTGTAGAGGTCACTCGGTCTATTACCAAGCACAATTATTTGGTCATGACAGTAGATGATATTCCTCGCGTCATTCGGGAAGCCTTTTTCCTTGCGGCATCAGGACGTCCAGGTCCTGTTCTTGTTGATATTCCGAAAGATATTCAGCAACAACTTGCCATTCCTGACTGGAATCAACCGATGAAGCTCCAGTCATATTTGAACCGTCTTCCACCTCCTCCTCAGGTCTCTTTAATGCAACAGATTATCCGTCTTCTTTCCACTGCTAAAAAGCCTGTCATCTACTCTGGCGGTGGGTGCTTACACGCAAGTAAGGAGCTTCGAGAATTCGTTGAGCTCACTGGCATTCCAGTGACATCTACCTTGATGGGATTGGGGACGTTCCCTGCATCGGACGAGCGGTACCTCTCTATGCTAGGAATGCATGGAACAGTGTACGCTAATTACGCCATCGACAATTCAGACATGCTTTTGGCGTTTGGAGTGCGATTTGATGATCGTGTGACTGGGAAGTTGGAGTCTTTCGCCTCAAGGGCCAGTATTGTGCACATTGATATCGACCCTGCAGAAATCGGAAAGAACAAGCAACCTCATATTTCCATCTGTGCAGATGTGCAGCTGGCTCTTGCCGGGCTCAACAAGCTTATTAAGGAGGGGCCAGCCACGAGGCCAAGCTTTTCAGCCTGGCGGAAGGAGCTTGATGGAGTGAAGGAGAAATGGCCCATGAAGTTTCCCAAATTGGACAGTCAAGTAATTGTTCCCCAGTTTGCTATTCAGACATTGTGTGAGTTGACCGGAGGAAATGCTATTATTTCAACTGGCGTAGGGCAGCATCAGATGTGGGCTGCACAATGGTACGAGTACGAACAACCACGGAGGTGGCTCACCTCGGGTGGACTTGGAGCTATGGGCTTTGGTTTGCCAGCTGCCCTTGGTGCTGCTGCTACAAATCCTGATATTCCCGTGGTTGATATTGATGGAGATGGAAGTTTCATCATGAACATTCAAGAGCTTGCGACGATACATGTGGAAAAGTTGCCCGTGAAGATCATGGTCTTGAATAATCAGCATCTAGGTATGGTGGTTCAATGGGAAGATCGGTTCTACAAGGCCAACCGAGCCCACACTTACTTGGGTGATCCAGAGGCTGAAGCTGAGATCTATCCTGACTTTTGCAAGATTGCGGAGGGATGCAAGGTGCCTTCAGCTCGTGTCACACGGAAAGAAGACTTGAGGGATGCAATTAAAAAGATGCTTCAAACTCCAGGACCGTATCTACTTGACGTTATTGTCCCCCATCAGGAGCATGTGTTGCCTATGATCCCAGGAGGAGCAAGTTTTAAGGAAATTATCACGGAAGGGGATGGCCGACAAATATATTGAAAGGCTTGGTGCTGAAAAGTATGTTCTAGATACTATGTACGTACGCGGAATCATTAGTGGAAGAGTTTTGGTTGCTGAGTTGTGGAATAAATTGGGTATCTTCATAGCTTTTGCATGTGTTGGAGATGGAAGTGTGCTTGTAGTTTGCATTCAAGGTTATGGTTTACATGAGTTAGCTGACTATAAGACGTATCCTGAGGTTCAAGAATAAACTGCAGAAATCAATTTAAGTAGTTTAGAAGGTGAAGTAATCTTTACCTTGGTAGCCTAGCTTGATCCGCATTTGCTTCCGGAATCATGATTAGGATTCAACGTGGTCATTACTATTTACAAACACCTTCACGTAATCCTCGAGAATTTAAATGGCATAACTGTAAGTAAGTTGGCCTCTTTCTAGGCACAGTTTTGTACGTGTGCCTTAATCCTGAAATGAATTTTTTTCTCTGCTGTATTTCGGTACTACATTGGTAAATTACATCACAAATTCGGCGTAGTAATGTGCGTTTGTCAGAGGTTTCTTACTATTTCAGCTCATTGTCTGCAATCGGCTCCATGTGTTTAATTCAGATGCTTCGCTTTTGTTTCACATTGCTTCATCTGTGTAGACATTGCCCAATTTTTACATTTTGTTCTTTTATTGTAGCCTCAATCCCTACTATCTTTTTAGAATTTTCCATGGCTTTAACCAACTAAAGGACCTTGATTGAGTCTTTAGAAATTTCCATCCGTTAAGTAGAGTTAGTATCTTGTAGACTTGATAGTAATTAGTGAGCAATTTGTTAAGAGTCACTTCGCATTGGCACACAACTCGACTGGAGGTGCCATGGATAAGTTTCCAAGACTTGGTCATTCTTTTCTTCTTAAATTGGGTGGCTGTTCCTTATGTCTTGCATTCTTCACTGACTTTGGTAGAAGAGTAACTTCCTCCTTTGCTTGTTTTGGAGGCAATACTACTTTAGGGGTTTGCTTCACTCTCGCACTACGGTTTAATTGTATGTCCTCATCTTCTTGAGTCCATCCTCCTGAAACTCCACGAAACATACAAAGACATGTGACCAATCAAGTAGATGTCTTGGCTGTTGCTGAAGTGAACTCCATGACCAATCAAGTACATGTCTTGGCTGTTGATGAAGTGAACTCTTATTCATTTTTCCTTGCAAACAAGAGACACCATAATTGAACCTTTCTTCCTCTTCTAATTGAACCTTTCTACTTCTTTTGCTTCTGAAGGTAGGAAATATATACACAACTAGGCATTTGCAGTGCTCTATGTGTTAACAAAGGTCAAGGTGAAAGCACCACACAAGGTGAAGGCACCACACAACCTCAACTTCAAGCATTTACACAAGAATCTCCTACAGTTCCTACGAATGTTAAATATTAATTGTAACGTCAATGTGACGCACGAAGATGAATTGAAGAATCATGACAAAATTGGGAGATAAAGAAGTGTCAACTAGCAAGAGGCGCGAGCGGAGAAGGGGCCTGGTGTGCCGGTCCAGCCTTGAACGCATTCCAACAAAGGAGCCACCAATTGGCCGGCAGAAATGGCATTAAACACCTTCTCAATCTCTTGCCCCGGAGACACCGTCCTCTGCCCCGACAGGAGCTGCGTCTTCAAGTCTCCGCGCACTAGCTTGTACAATGGATACGTCCTACAGTCTTGAATCCTGTTTGGAACCAAGGATAGTCCCTTTGTGTCATATGCTTCTCGCACCGCGGGCACCACACGGCTCAGCTGAAGCTTCAACTCTGCCTCAAACACTGGAATCTGCCTAAATACTGCGTTGGAGGTCTCCTTGTCGGCACTCTTCAAGGCACGGCTCACCAGCACCCCTCGCAGTTTCTCCATTAGAGGGTATGAATCACTGGTGGAATCGTCGATGTAGCTGAACACCGGCTGACGATCCACTACCATCAGTAGTTCCTTCTCGCAGAAGCGTGATGGCAGCAGTGATCCGTCGCTGCCCATGAAGAGCGTCTTCTTGGCCACCTGTGTCACTACTTGCTTCACAGCCGACTGCATGGTCTCTTCGACATGACGCAGGTCGATAGCCTGGCACAAGCCTACCAAGAAGGTGGCACTCATGAGCTTGAGAATCTCCATGGCTTCCTCCGTCTTGCGGGCTGACACCAATCCCAGTGAGTTCACATCTTGGTTGTGTTGCTCCGCGCTTTGGACATGGGTGGTGACCGGGTTGGCTAGGTAGTTAATCTCCGACAAGTACGAGGCCATGGCGATCTCTGCCCCTTTCATGCCGTAATCCAGGCTGGGGTTGGGTCCCCCGCTCAAATTGGAGGGTAATCCGTTGTTGTAGTAGTCGTTCACAAGTTCGGAGAATTGTGCGAACATGAGCTTAGCGATGGCGGCCAGAGAGAGGCGCATGTTGTCCATAGACACGCCGATGGGCGTGCCCTGGAAGTTGCCGCCATGCAGAGCGATGCCCCTGGCAGCATCGATGATGGGATTGTCGTTCACAGAGTTGATCTCCCGCTCGATGGCGTGGGTGGCGTTGCGGATGACCTCCACCTGAGGGCCCAGCCACTGCGGGGAAGTTCGCAGCGCGTATCTGTCCTGCTTGGGCTTGCGCAAGGGGTCGGTCTCATTGAACTTGGCGGCAGCCTTCATGAAGGAACTCCCGTCCAGCACCCACTCCATGACAGCCGCAGCCTCCATCTGTCCGGGGTGGTGCTTCAGCTTGTGAGTCAGGGGGTCGGCAAATTCAGGCTTGCCCTGCATTACCTCGCAAAAGAGCGCGGACAGAACCTCGGCGAGCAACACCATGATGTTGGCATCGTAGCACACGGTGGAAGCGAGGGCTGAACCGACTGCGGTGCCGTTGACAAGGGCCAGCCCTTCCTTGGGCGCCAGCTCGAACGGCTTCTCCACGCCTGCGATGCGCAAGGCCTCCAGTGCGGAAACCTCTCGTCCGTCCTCGGTGACGGCTTTGGAATTGGGGCGACCGGTAAGCAGGCCGGCGATATACGACAAGGGGACGAGGTCGCCGGATGCCGTGATGGTACCCCGCAAGGGCAACTTGGGGGTGACGTGCGCGTTGAGTAGCTTCTCCATAGCATGTAGGATCTCCCAGCGGATGCCAGAATAGCCCTGCATTAGCGTGTTGGTACGCACTAGCATCGCCGCTCGGGCAGTCTCGGATGGCAGGGAGTTACCCTTGCTGAGGACTCCCGCATTCAGGAAGCGGATGAGTTCGCGCTGAAGCTCCACTCCTTGCTGCGTGCGACGATGAGAGGTCGCTCCGAACCCGGTGGTAACGCCGTAGATGTCACCTCCGCCCATGATCCTGTCGAGCACCCAGTTGGAGCTCTCGTCCACTCTACTCCTGGCATTGGCAGCATCGAGCACGACATGCACCTCAGGTCTGCGAGCAATGGCTGCTACCTGAGGTACAGTGAGGGTGGCTCCCTCGATCATGACCTGGGTGGCATTTTGGTAAGTGTCGACCATCCGCTTGATTTCTTCGAGGTGGCTGCATTCCATGGCCTTGGCGGTCTTGGCCCAGTTGAGAGGATCCGCACCATGAACTGCTCCATTACCGAGTTGGCCAATGCAGTACGGAGATGTGTTGTCATCATGCATCATGTCTGAAGATGCCGCATCAATTTGCTCACCTGATCCGACGACATTAAGCTCCTCAGCTCGTGGTGCCATTGTTGGTATTGAAGACCTGCAATTACACTATCTGTCGAGATCTACTGGGTGCGCGGAGCTACGCAAGACTGTGATGTACTGAGAGTTCGAAGTCGTGCCTGAACGCCTACTTCAGGAAGCAATCTCTACCAAGCAGCAGTAGCAAACTTTCCTGATCTTTCAAGAGATGGGAGGTGAATCAATTGCTGAAGGGTGGGATGCAGGCCCTGTCCGGCATTCGCTGCTTGAATGGGCGTCAGGGTGAAGTGAAGATTAATGAGATTCGGGGAATGCTCTTTAAGCAACTAATGCCTCTGGCTAGAGCGCGGTGTTCACCGTCGAAATGTATTCTATCGGCTGACACTAGTCCATAAAGGTGGATATATTGCGGTGAAAACAGTCCGAGGCGGCGTTGAAATGTTGAAAGTGGTGCCCTTCCTGGACCTATGAGCCTCCTGGTGCCACATGAAGGATGAGAGTCCTCCAGATTGATTTATGATACAGGGTTGTTGAAATTTAGTTCGTCTGTCGTTTACTTCAACACTATGTCAAACTACAATTCCTCTCATGTTCTTGTCGGGGATTCTCAGGTTCTTTGGGGTGGACCCACTTTCTATTGGAGAAAAGTCGGACGCGTGTTCTTGTTTGGAAGGACGAAGGCGCTGCGATTCTTCGTGGTCTCCAGTCTGACTCTCAGAGTCTCTGTCACACTGGTCTGCTGGAATGGATCGTTTCGCTGATGTCAAAACTGACCAAAATATTAGATTTCAAAGGGCCAAGTCAAGACCATGACTTTTGCGTCCGAATGCGAAATTCGAAAATTATCGTGCAATTGCGAAATTTGAAATTCGCCTCTAGACGGCATGGAGTAGCAAAGTGGTGGGGTGAATGCAGAAAAATGGTCAACAGCTTTCAACAGCAATGACTCCACAGAAAGAGCACACGATTCAATGCAGTAAGCGTCTTTCTTTATTTCTGCAGACATAAAGTCGCGGTCAAAATAAAATATACCCCCTAAGCTTCCAATTAGACTAAATATTCCTTGTCAACTTTAGAAAAATATTAGAAAAATCTTATTACACTTGAATCAGCTCCAAATAAATTCTAAACAATTCTTAAAAATACTAATCCACCTCTAAAAATCCTAATCAACTCTATTTTTATAATAAAGTATCATAATAAAATCTTAAAGAAATCATGAATAAATTATAAAAAAATCATAATAAATTCTAAAGAAATTATTAAGAAATATTATTAAATTTTTTTTTTAAAATCTTAAAGAAATCCTAATAAATTCTAAAAAAATCATTGATTGAATCCTAATCAAATATTAATTAAAGCTGTAATTTGATTATCTAATTAAGCTTAGTTTGATTAAAAAATCCAACAAAACTATGCTCATAAATCTACAAATTTTTAATTTTGGATGTGCTATAAAATTCACATAATTTTTTAGAATTTAATTCTTTTTTATTTCACAAAAAATAGTCATTAAAAACAACGTTGACTTTGCAAAGCTTTCACAAAGTCATTATCGACTCAAATCCCTCAAAACCAACATTTAAAGAAATTCTCTCAAGTTTGCTTTTCAATTAAAAAAAGAAACTTTTGATTGCCATAGATATACGGATTTATACCTCAAGGTTTGATTCTGACTCTAGTTTACAACTAATCCTCTTTAAGTATCAATCTAAGATTATTTTACATGATATTTGTTAAAAGATATTTTTTACTTTTATCTAGATATTTTTATAATATTATTTTACTAAATTACTTTATTTTATCATATTTGTGGTCTAATAAAATAAATAATAGTTTTTTTTTTTTTTTTTTTTTTTTTTAATTAAAAAATAGCATTAAAATCAAATAAAATACTTAGATTGTCTCAATATAGATGACATTATAATTGTAATGAACTATCACGGACCTACATATTTACTTTAATAATTACCAATATGATTAAATAGAAGTAGGTAAAAATAGATTAATTTCATAATATCTTCAAAGAAGCTTCTTAAAAGTTTCATAGATGCTGCTTTGACTTTATACATATTTTTAGTTAATAGGTAGGCTAAAAACTTGTTCCACAAGTTAGCCACATAACACACGTGTTAGTAGCTTGTGGAACAAATTAATTATGTGGCGCACATATAGATAACTTGTCTAATAAGTTAAGTCATATATTTAGCAAAGTCAACACGTGTTAAAGGTCTTATAGAATATTGTCATGTATGCCATAGTTAGAAAGTATATATGGAGGCAAGAGTGAAGCCTTCTTTACTTTTGTCAAGGCCTTTCTAGTCTTTTGTCTTATTTCAAGACCTTCTACTCTTCTTGTCTTTAGCAATAGCCATTCTAATTCAATATGTTACCATCTTTAAGTAATTTTTTAGTCTTTTCAAGTGACATAAGAATGTATAAGTTTTTATTATTATTATTATTATTATTATTTTTTATTTTTAAGATTCATGACTTTAATATTTTGACAAGAGTACTAACTCATTATTCTTGTCTTGTTTTAAAAAAGAGTAGATTAATCCACTTCTATTATTGTATTTTGAAGTTTGTGGATTATCCGTGTTTAAACAAACTATTTAATTTTCTAATACTCATTTTTTTTCTAAACGAGAGAAAATTATCCTTCTTTGTGGAAATTTTTATTTGATATTAGGAAAGATAGACTATCTTCTTTTAATTTAATTTGTAGATTTGTTAAGTTTTTTGAAATAGAAGGAAAAATTACCAACTATAGAAACACTAATCCTATGCTTATAGAAAAATTTCAGAGTTTATATCAAGAAGTTGTGCAGTTGAAAGAAATAAGTAGACGTCATAAATATATATATATATATATATATATATATATATATATATATACTCTAGAAAATACCTATATGATTAGATAGAAATAAGTAAAGTAGATAAAAGTAAGCTAATTTCATAATACCTTTTAGAGAAGCTTCCTAGAAGCTTTATAGATATTTTTTTGACTTTATATGTATTTGTAGTTGATTGATAGATTAGAAACTTGATCAACAAGTTAACCACATGTTGATAGCTTACAAAATAAGTTAATTATATAACAAATATATAGAAAACTTGCGTTATAAGTTAAGATACGTATCATACAAAGTCAATATGTTTTGGAGGTCCTATAGGATATTGTGACATAGCTCCTAATCAAAAGTATATATGAAGGCAAGAGTGAAGCCTTCTTTATTCTTGTTAATACCTTTCTAGTCTTTAGTCTTATTTTTAGACTTTTTAGTCTTTTTGTTTTTAGCAATTGTCATTCTAGTTTAGTAATATATCACCTTTGACTGACTTTTTGGTTCTTTTCACTGTTATAAGAATATATTGAGGATTTCTTTCTTTAAGATTCATGTCCTTAATAGTTTAACAAGAGTGCCAACTTATTCTTTCTATTTTGTTTTAGAAGTGAGTAGATTACTCCACTTCTATTATTGTATTTTGAAAGTTATAGATTACTTACCTTTAAACAAACAATCTTATTTTTTAATATTGATCTTTTTTTCAATGAAAGTAGATTATCCCTAAAACAGAACTAGACTATTTCAAAAATCCAAGATCCTTCAAATCTACAATAACATAAGGCCTTATTACAAAATATGAAAAAACAAACAAACAAAAAATTGAATGGAACTAAACAGAATAAGATATGAAAGATAAAACTAAGAAAATAGAAACAGAACAAAATAGATCTGAACAGAAAGATGCAATACCAAACTTTACTAAGAGAAGGGGTCCGAAGCCATATCTGACCAAATGTCCTAAAAAGCCCTGGCTAGTCCTATTTATACCTTGTCCTACTATCCTAGACCTTTTAAAATATTTCTAGGTGGTAGATCCTACCTAAATAACTATCTTAACTCTTTTTTTAGAAGATTCTATGATAGGCTCCATCTAGATAATTATCCTTAGGTTTTTTTAGAAGATTCAATGGCAGGCTCCATCTAAATAACTGTCCTAAAACTTCTCTAGAATATTCTTTAGTGGATCCAATTTAATCCATTAACTTAACCTCAATTCTAAAAAATTCCATGGCTCTAATTATCTATATAATTATCTTATCTATATTCTATTACAATTAATTCCCCTCCACTTATGCAAAACGTCCTCATTTTGTTCCCTATGGTATCTTCAAATTGTTTCTTAGCAATAGGTGAGGTTTTGTGCAGGTTTCCACGTTCCATCATAAATAGGATAATCTTTCTAAAGAACTTTATATTGAAGTTGTGGACGTCCACTACCTTGACTAAGGTAGCGATGCACCAAAATATTGTCCACTTTATATACTTGTTGGTCACTAACTATAACTAGTGGTGGTGGTGGTGGTTGATATAAATCTAGAAAGCGCTTTGATTCAGTATGAAATTCTTTCAATTATGAAACATGAAAGATTAGATGGATCCAAATATGTGAAAAAAGCTCGAAGTAATATGCAATATCAGAAATCACTATAAAAATGTAGAAAAGGTCTAAGCCATTGAGGCATTAGTTTATGAATTTGGGTTGACCTGAGGTAATCCATGGTGACAAAAGACGGTATCAAAGAAGACTTGTACAAGCATTGGAGCATCAATATCCAAGTATATTGGGGCCAAATGATGTTGCTTTGATAGTCAATCTATAAAGATAGCAACCGCGGTATGATTATGAGACGTCTTCAATAAATACCTAATGAGATCTATAGTCATTTGCTTCCAACTTGCCGTAGGTATAGAAAATTGACTGCAATAATTTAGGAGACACTATGTTGCATGCTTTATTACATTGATATGACTTGCAAGAGCATATAAAGGCTCAAACATCACAATCCAAACCTACCCAAAACTATGTCCTTGAGATCTATTCTAAGATCTTCTTTCATCTTAGATGTCTAGATATTGGGATGTCATGTCCCTTTTAAAGTATGTGTGTCTAGAATTTTACATTATTGGGTACATAAAATCGCTTCTTGAAATAGAGCAAGCCATCACTAAGAGTATAATCTTGATATTGTATATTATCCACCTTTAGTCGATTGCTAATCAACTTGAAATAAGCATCTCGTTGCGTAGTTTTCTTCCATTCTACCTCTTTGGTTAGATCTGAAATGATATTGCTAATGGTAGTAACTTCTACCTTGTCTTCTAATCCGTCCTTCAAGTTTGGTTTCCATAATAAACTATCTAGTACTATATGTTGTCACCCTTGCTTATATTCAAGCTGCATATCAAAAATGTGTAATTATTCTTTTCAATGATGATGCCATGATTTCATATTTTTCAGATGTAAATCATGTAGCAATAGTCAATGGTCAGTCCAAATAACCACTGGCTTTTCCAATAGATAGTGTCGCCATATC